TACAAATTAGGTCCGCCGACGATGTCGTCGGTCTATCGGCGGGTGCAGGAGGCGGCCGTCCGAAAAACGGACGTCCACGATGATATCTCGCGGCAAACAAGCTGGCACGTTAATGAGGGCCCACGACGACGAGAGGGAAAAGACGAGAGGAACCGTGCGGGATAGACCGAAAGGAGGAAGGAAAGCGAGTCGAGCAAATACCTCGTCGTACGCTGACAACCCCGGATGCGTCGATAGCATCTCGACATTAAGTAAGCAGCCAACGCGGCCGACTCGCGAGCGCACGTTCTACGTACGAGCAACCGAGTCTACACGCGTCAATACTCGCTGTGTAACGCGAGCGTAAGACTCCCCAATCGACCAGTACGGTAGCCTCTCACATGAGATGTCGCCAGGACTTACTAGTAGATGAATAAATACGGTATCGTAGCCCGCACGGAGAAAAAAAGTCTCGTTGAATCAACACGACGATGAACGACACCAAATGCGCTTTGGTTGGAGGGAAGAGAATTTCTCGTTGTAAAGACTGAATTTGGCCCGTGAGAAACAGAAATTCTCTTTCTTTTAACCAAAAGTTAATTCAACTGATCTTTTTTCTTCAGGTCACACTTGAAAAGTGCTTCTCGTGCTTTTGCTTCCGGTTTGGTGTCTGCCCCGACGGACGAGGCGATCGAGCGCTTCTTTCGTGAAGAATTCGCGAATATTACCGTGTGGGAAGAATACATGGCTGCGTGGTGGTAACGATCTCATCCAATTTTTCCACGATTCGCCGTCGTCCTGGCTAATTATCGTCAGCGGTTTGAGACTTTATTAAAATGTAAGTCATAGTTGCAGCAATATTAATAACATTGCAACTTGATTGGACGCGATACACGCGCGAAACGAATAGAGAAAATAAGAGAACGTGGAAAAGAAAACAAACGAGAAATTATACCACCGTTCAAAATTGACGGAAGAATATTGAGACATAAGAGGTGTATGTTTGGTCTTATTTACCGAGGGTTGAATCGAGGGGTGAGTCGTCACGAGAAGGGGTTTGGTGACATTTCGTAGCGCGAAGCAGCGCGATAGGAGCGCGATTATCTTAACTTGTCGCGAGTGGTCGCATTCGTTAATGTATCCGACGCTCGTATCGTTTCCTCGCTTCTCGAAGCTCGTGGACGTGCTTTCGTGTTAATAAGGCACGCGCGGCGGCGACAATAACAACAACAGCAGCAACGTTACTCGCATCGCTGCGATCGTGAAGAGATACGAAATGCGACGCGACATAATGGATAGCGTCACATTACGAGCGCTCCCCACTTTTTTCGAGAATTATTATTAAAAATTCGCGCACGTCTGCGTACTTGTCTGCGATATCGAGGACAGAAGTGTCGTGTCTCACTCGCTCGTTCGTGCGATATAATCCGATAATGATAATTCCGTTAATCGATAATTACACGTGTTATACCAGTGATATGTCTTATCATATAGAGCGTAATTGATGTCGACAGGCATGATGGGATTTCTGCAAACCTAATGCATGTCGATGAGGTGTTTCCTTTTTTGCCTTTCCTTTTTTATTTTTTTCTCGCATCTTCGATCAATTATGCGTAATCAGAACGGGACGTATGCGCGCATATTTAAATTGTTCACCATTTACGCGTGTGTCACACGTTCGAGACGAGTCGCACTTTTCCGAGAAGAAGCCGTGAGCGACCCTCGGGCGATTTCTCGATCCATCGATTAACCTTTATCGGACGCTAGCTTTTTATGCGTGATTCTCACTAGGTTGTAGCTGGTTCGGTAAATGCGAAATTGTCACTTCCTATGTGACGTACGACCGCAGCGACGAAGTATTGTTGTCACGTGAGAGGTGACTTACGACCGATAAGGGTTAATTATCAGAGGAAGTACTATTCGACGTATTTGAAGCTTCGGTATAATTAGACATTTAACGACGAAGTTTGAGGATTCGAAGATTCGAAATATCGAAGTTGTTAGTAGAACTGATTTTAGAGAATACAATGAAATGCTGTGCAATCAGAGAGTATCGGTTTAATTAAACCCAAATGACATCAAGACGTCCTAACATTAAGACATGATAAAGATGACTTTTAGAAAATAAGTCGCCTGGAGAACGTCTTTGAGACGTCTCTTAGATCTACGTGTTGTTTAGATAAACATTTTTAGTTCAATTCCGAGATATGTATTTGTCTAGTTTAAAACAAAACGACAGAAGCACAAATAATAAACCAAATCTCTGTCTTTATTTGAAAATAAATGCACATTTTACCATGATATACAACGGTATAACTCAATACAAAAGAAATCACATTTTTTAGGACGGTAAATATTATTTATTACACCCACAAAACGAACGCAAGTATTTGCCAGTTCTTGAAGTTTCGAATATTCAAACATTGTTCGAGTTTTCACACTTGGAACATTTCATTATTCGAATATAACGTATCGAAGGTTAAGAAGAGCCGAAGCTTCGAATATCATTTCTAGCTGTACTAATTAGCCTCGGCCAGAACGTGCTGACGAGCCGGTAGGAAAACAAAGCAAAGACGAGGCTGGCGAGGCGAGCGTATCTCATCTCTCGCGGACATTCTCGAAACGCGCGCTATCGTCGCGCGGTGAAAGCGTCGATTGCGGATTATTATTATGTTCCCGTCGCCGGCGCGGGAGAGCCATCAATTTTTTTCCCTCTCTCGCGATCTCGCGTGCGTCAACGGCTGCACACTTTCTATGGCTCCGCCACGTGCGAAACTCTCGGGTTCTACGCTCTTTCATGACAGATCTCGCGCGCGCGCGGAAGAGATCGATATCTCGTCACGAACCAACCGCAGTCCGCGCTCGTGCGCGATACACACGCGCGTTCGCGAGTCGCGAATATTAAATCTGAGGACGACTTGACGCGCGGGAAGCGCGCGATCTACGCCGGGAATCTCGCAGGAATTCGCATCGGAAAGGCGAAGTAACGTCTTAAACGAGGGAGTAACGAGGCGATCGAGAGTGCACGTTGTCGAGAGGGTCGCGCTAAGTGACGCATTGCTCATCTCCCTCTGTAATCTTCGTGCGAATTCGTAATTAAACACCGAGAAAAGCTCGTAAATACCGGCGACACGCGAAATTTCCATTAGACAATATCATTAGCCCGCCACGTGGATCGGTCGATATTATTCTGTAATTTGAAGGCAGCAGGGAGAGAGAGAGATCGTCCTGTACTTAGCGTTTCCATCTTATTGCTTCCGAGTGGCGAGGTAACGCTGATATAATCCACGTTTCAAAGCGTGTGCGTACGTCGATGTATGAAACGACATAATACAACGATCGCTCTCCGCGAACTACGGCATCGCGTTGTCCTCCGCGGGAACATCGCGAAAAATCGCTTTCACGTGCCGCGCTAAGTCACCGGTCGGCACGCTCGAAATACAAACGATCAGGCCGTTCACCTCCTCACAAAGTGAGAGCCGCGAACTTGTAGGACTAAATGACCGGCGGAATTAAAAGGACGGCGTGCGCCGCCAAAAGAAACGCCTCGCGACGCCGAGGTCAGCCCCTTGTCGACATTTTTCCGCGACAAATCTCGCGACGGCAGATACGTATCTCGTCACGAAACGGCGACTGCACGCCGAGCTACATTAGCATCGTCAAATATTAAAGCAACAACGAAGATACAACGATGACGACTGCTTAACTCGAACGTTACGCGGCACCGTGCCGACAGCTACCATTCATTCCTCCCCGTCTCTCTCTCTCTCTCTCTCTCTTTTGCTCTTTCTCCGATAATCGACGGTTGCCTCCGTTTCTCACTCTCTCTCATTCTTTCTCGCATTCTATTCTCTCTCTCTCTCTCTCTCTCTCGTCCTGTTGTTCGATGTAACCCGTGCTTATGATTGTTATTGATCGACCGTTTTGTTTCTCGCCCGTGTGCACGTATGTATGTGCGTGCATGCCCGGCCGAACTGGCACGCCACGCGGCACTATAATGTTGGCACGACAGAGCGAATACAGAGAGACGGCGGACCTTAATGAATCTTTATGGGATGATGTCGTGAACTTGTATACCCTCCGGTGACTGACTGAACCCGGTCGCGCTAAGCAATGGCGCGGCGAGCGCGGCCGAACTTCTCTCGTTCGACGCCGTCGATGGGCAGTTTCTGTCGTCCGAGCGCTCTGATGGCCCGGCCGAACAAAGAGTAGGAAGAATAGAGGTAATAAAGTCGCGGGGAGCGTGCACATAGAAAACGTGTATTCTATTTTGTTTCTCCTATTTCCCCAGGAGGAATGGTAATAAAGTGTTTCGCGACGAATCGTGTCCGCGTAAACGTGCGACACGGTTCGCGCGGTTTTCAATCGAAATACCGTTTCCGAGGAATAATAATGTGCATTGCGCTGTGGGACGATAATATTTTCGCGGCGACTACGCCAATGCGAACGGACTGCTCATTAGCCTCGACGGTGGTGTTGCCGCGAGTTTGATGGTGTAGACGCTCGCGTCCGTGTTCGTAAAATTTGAAGGGCGTGTAGAAGGTCCGTGGGGTCCCGGCTAGCCGCGTCTTGATTGTCATCAACTCGTTGCTCGTCGCGTGATATTGTCATTAGCCCGCCTAACCATCGTCACCCGCGCGACGTCGCGCGCTTAGGACGCGCGTTTCTCGTCCTGCGCGCGCGAGAGAGAGGGTCTACTTTAGGTTCCATCGATCCGAAAATCCCTCGTGACTCGTCACCTGCGCGCACGTGTCCCCCGCACGAGCCCGCGCGATTTTCGTACACGCCTAACGTTAAACGCGCATCGTGAGACTTTTTCCTGCTTCCGAATAGCCTTTTTCCCCGAGGCCGACCATTTCCGCGTCGACTGTCTGCCATACGTTCGATGAGAAGGGTGCGACGTTCAAGGAGGACAATGCGTTTCTCGCGATGAAAATCACGTTTCCCGGACGAGGGGGTGAAAAATGCGCCGAGTTTACCGCGCCTCTTGTTTTGTTTTTCGTTGCAATAATGTTACTTACCAGGATCCGATGAGTCGAGGCTAGCTGGCGCTTGCTGGCTGAGAGGTCCAGGTGTGCCACCGCTTCCGGGACTACGTGCGTCGTCGTTAGCACCCGCACCCGGATACGAAAGTGACGAAGAGGGTGGCCTCTGCAACAGCGAAGAGAAGAACCGTGAAGTAATCGACGCGTGTCGCGACGATGGTCGCAGGAATTTCGAAGGGGAAGAAGGGAGAGCGGGCCGGCGTTTCGCAGCGAGATGATATCTCGATGGCAGGCCTGTACGTATTATTTTCGCTTTCGATGCTGCTCGTGCGAGTAAAAGTTTCGGGCCCGCGTGTCCACGTGGACACGCACGCGGCGCACACACAGCGTGACCGATCCCGTTTTCTTGCGGACGCTACGTAAGTAACTGAGAGAGGATTACGTCCGAAGGAAGAAAAAAAGCGTGATCGATTTGGCGCTTCTGGAACGGGCCAGAATTGAGATTAACGACCGTTCACGACGCGCCGTTTCTGCGCGTTCGCGAAAGCGTCGTTGACTTGGCACGGAATGTCGGGATATACGCGATACGCGATTGTCAAATTGACGACACGGTGCGGCGCATTTACACGCGTTATCGCACGTCGCGCGAAATCGCGTAAACTAGCATGTCCCATTAGTGGTTTCTGTAACGATCTTTGAGAACTCGTACTGATCTTCAACCTTGATTTTTTCACTTATTTATTGATCGATTGATTTTTCTTTTAGACACAGTTTATGTCGGAGACGCTCGATACACCGGGTATACGCGCACCGTTGACTGCCGCGCGCGTCGGCTGATTTCGATCTCGATTAAAGACGGAGCACACGTAGCTCTCGTCGAAAATGCCGCCGGCATACCTAAATGATTCGGGGGAGCCCCGGCTTGGGAGACGCGTACGACTTACGAATCAACGGATTTACTGGGAGCGCTGAGAAGCGCGCGCGCGCGACGAATGTCTACCGTAAAATATTCGATCGTTTATTCCGTAGGTGTAGCCAAGTGATAATGACGCTCGTACAGAATGTCCCGTCGTAAAAGCGAAGAATGAGGGGAGGGCAGGACGAAACGCGCAGACGGAGAGCGCGAATCCGTCGGGACACGCGCGGAATTACTTTCGCCCGCGAAACGCGACTGACTGCGAGTTCGTTTCGTGACTCGATTCGTCAGCGACGCATGGCTACAAATATGCGCACATTAACAGAAAACTATAATTCGTTTCGACGCCAAACACACCCTTCAGCCAGAATAATAATTGGGAGAACCGTTTCTCTAGTATTATAACTTTACCTAAACGATTGCTACTGTTATAAAATATGTTTAGCGCCGGAACCAACTATAATTTTGCTATCAGTGCACGCGCTTGGTTCGTTACAGCCAATGACTGATGAGCGGGAGGGGACGAGCATATATTTTCTGGATCGACTTATATCTTCTAGATCACACCGTCGTTGTGAATCGGATCGAAGGATTGTCGGTTCCGTGAAAACGCGAAGGGAGATTCGCGATATCGATAACCAGTTCGATAAACCCTCGGCGCGTGGATCGGACGGCGATGCGCGAATAACAAATTGCGGATCAATCCGAGGCAATTCGCCGCTTCTCACTGGCGCGCTTCGAAGTGTTATTATAGTCGCGGGACGAGGAGAGGATACTCATTGAATGATCATTCGCAACGATCGCGCGGCGAACAAATGAACGGACGAACGAATGAACGGACGGGCTGACTCTCAGGGTCGCCGGTTTTATTTTTTGGCCGCGGCTCGAATGACGACGCCGTCGACATCCTTTCGAGAACTAGCGATCGGCTTCGGCGGCGACTTCTTGTACTTTTTATGGGACGTTATATCTGAAAAAAGGAGTCGCGCGCGTGTGTGCGTGTGTTTGCACGTGCCGGTTTATTGATCCCGTCCCGAGGTCGAAGGGTAAGAATTTGAAGCGGGCGAATCTCTCGATATCACGAAGCGAAATGTCTGGGTATATCACGTCTGGCCAGGCAACAATGAGTGACAGCTACTCCCACATGCTGTCATAGGCGTCATCTTCGCGATAATGTACTGACTCCGCTCCCTCTCTCGATTGCCTGCTGCTCTCGTATCTCGCCTGAAATCGTTACACGGTCAACTCCGGAGGATCCGCTCTGTCGCAGGGACGCGTAACGTGAATTTACTGGCTCGCGGGAGGCAGGCGTGTGCGGACGGACGGAGGTCCGGCAAAATTTCAGCCGGAACACGAACAACAATGGCGAATAGTAGTCCAACGGAAATGTTTGTAATTACATATTGCAAATTACCGGAGTATTCGTGCAACATAAAACGAAAAGAAGACCACCGTTTTTGAGCCTACGGGAGATCGGGAGAAATAGATACTGGAATTTTTTCTCTTCCTGGACGTGTTTTAAACACATTCATCTTTCTTAAAAAAAAAAAGATATTAAGAAACATTTGAAACATAAATGAACGTCAAGGGCAAACACGAGATTTCTCATTGCGAAATCTCGAGCGAAAACGAAGTGGCCGGGCGCAAAAATCGGGAACTCTTCCTCCTTGATCCGGCCGATTGCTCGCGAGCCTTGAACGGCTATTTGCACAGGGACTGTAGGGCCCCGCGGTTCGCACGAGCAAGAGTAAATACGAGAGTGGTAACGAGTAAAGGGGACATTAATAATGCATCGGTCGTCGCCGGACCGCTTCCTACTGGCACTCGGCGTAAAACGAGGGAGTCCCGTGCTCGTCAAGGCGGATGATCTTCAAATCGTGCTCACAATAATTGCTTGGGTGATATCATTTCAATAAGAGACTCTCCGAGGAGAGTTTGTGTCGTCCGTCGATCGGCTGTTTCGAAAGCCTTGCGAGATATACAGCCGGCTGCTTCAGCGATCGTCTCGGCATATCGTAACATAAATATCTCCCCGCGCGACCCTGCAACTCTTTTGTCCGCGATCGACGACGATTATTGAAAGATCTCGGACGAGTGTCTCCGCCGAATCCCCGTCATCCGCTCGACGATGACCCGGATCATATTCGACGAGAGAGAGAGAGAGAGAGAGAGAAAAGCAAAGAAAGAGTCTCGTCGAGATTTACGTCGTGCCGATATGGTCGCTCACGGTGTACCTCCAAAGCTGACGTCACTTCCTACTAAAGGCTGAATCGCCGTTTTTTAAGTGGCCAGTAGGGTCCACCGCGTGACTCGTGTCGATGCAATGATAAACGGTTAACGGGTCGACGAGCTACGCGCTCTCGTTCCACGTCGTTGCCTCTCGCTCGCTCGCACGTCCCGTCGTCCGTCTCTGTTTGTATCTGTCAGTCCGTCTACCACGGCCACTCTTAAAGCGTAATTCGACAAACCGGATGTCTGGCCTGCCCCTTAAATAAATCAGTCGCCCGCATCTCATATTCCACCCCCGCTCGTTCGTGCCGTACGTTTCCTTCCCGGCGAGGGAAAAGTGTCCTTTCTGGACCGCGCGCGCGCGAGTACGTCCTTGAGAGGAAGTAATAGTCATCGAGGAACCCCTCGAAGGGAGCGATCCGCGGAATCCCGAGATCCCGAGAAGAATACCGGTTCCCGTTTCTTCACGCGTTCTGCCGTCGCCGTGTTACGAAACGTCCCGTGTGAGCGTCGACGCGATCGGCGGCGGCGGGAATCGCTTTCGATATTCATGTCATAAAGCATCGCCGGCGGTGCGTCGACTGTCGTCCTCGCGGCCGATAAATCACGATCGCTGGGCTGCGCGCCGCACGCAGGTGCGTCGCAGCCGTATTCGGCGATCTGGAGCGTGACGCTACTGTTCCGCGCGCGCGCGCGCGCGAGGATCGCGGAGGAGGATGGTGGCTTACTTACTTGCTCTTTTCGTGCGAGTCGCGCTTCGGAATCGTTACATGCGCGTATTAATTGGCCGTCGTAACATAATGCCATATAATTATGTAATTAGAGGCCAGGCATTAGTCTCGCTGACTGGTTTACGGGCGAGATACGTAAATCTCCGCAATTAATTTATTGGTGCTCGAGAGAGCTCGGAGGAGGCTAGGAGAAGAACAAGACATAAACGAGGTGGACGGGTGCGATAAAGACGGAGAAAACTAACGGACCGGCGATGGAGCGAGCGAGAAAACGAGCGAGAAGGGGAGAAAGAGAAAGGGAGCTATACTCCAGTCGCCGACGCGCTGACCGGACAGAGACAGCGATAGATTATGAAGGCAAAGGCAGCCACATTGTAAAGCATGCCCATCGACTGAACCCAGATCGAGAGTCTCTGTCTTCTCGGCCATTCCACGGAGCGAAGAGCGGGAGCGGGTGGAAACGAGCATGATGGCGGGGAAAGGAGACAGAGAGAGAGAGAGAGAAAGTGGGAGAAATAGAGGCAGAGCGAGCTCTCGTCGAACGAACGAGAGGAAGAGAGGAGGAGTCCTCCTAAGTCTCTGTCCGCGCAGTCTTGAATTTCTCGGCGATACCGGCGGGCGTATGGGGATCATAAATTACGATTTATTGCAGTGGCAGCGGCTCCGCTCGGCAGATTATCTTACGGTTATGTCAGCACGCCGCAATTATATTTACATTTCCTCCGTAATGAAACAGGCCGATGCGACGCTAGATTGACCAGTCGCGCGAATCGAGACGTAATGAGACGTGGGGGAAATTCTCTCGCGGGTTAAACTGGGTCGACTTAACGCGCGATCCTGAGGCAATCCCCTCGGACGGAAAAGTCGGAGAACGCCGCTGTCGTTTCCGTCGACAGTGCGACAAGTTTCACAACGAGCGCCGGAACGAACACGAGCGACCGTTGGACCACCTATTCTTCCTCTCTTCCCTCGTTCTCTATCTATCTTTCCGTCAATCATATCAGCGTGTCGCAAGATGTAAATTCTGTTTCAAAACGGATTTATGGAGTAAAGGAGTAAAAACGCGCCGTAGGTGGGACTTTAGAGGCCGCGCTAACGACAGCCACGAGATTCGTGCGATTAAATGGCCACGAGTTTAGGCCTTAACAAGGTGTACACCTGACCGGGGAATGATTTTAAAACGGTCGTATAAACGAAACAAATTTATGGCTGGCAAGGTGAAGCAAGAGAGAGAGAGAGAGAGAGGGAGCTGGGAGAACGAGACGGGCAGCCTGTTTTGGAACTCCTGCC